GTGTATACCTAGATTCTTACTTTGAAAGTATTATAAGCGCACTGCTTCACTAAGCACATTCGTAGTGATGGCTTGCAAGCTTCCACAGTTACTTTATTTTGGACATGCAACTAACAATTCCATTATAGGTTTCATCAATTTGCACTCGGGGTAATAAATAAATTTACACCCCTTTTAACAACATGCAGCATATTCTATCAAACGGATTCGTACCGGTTTTGTTCAGCGTTTGTTGTCTTGTCAAGTGTCCAGTAGTATTTACTATCATTCTTCAGTTTCTAGGTTTGAGAAATAGCTATGTAACCGGAACAGTCATGCGGTCAACCTATGCAAGTCGCATATTTGAATAACTAAGTCACTTAGCTAGCATCGAGTCGCATGGATGTTACTAGTCTCCATAAAATAGCGACTGTTTGAAAAACCGTTGGTTTTTTAACGTGTATATTCCAAACATTGCCGCTATCTAGATAGCAACAATTTTTATGCCACCGCTTCGTATCCAGCAACAATTCCGACTGAAAACTAATGTCTTTACGGTGAACCGGACGGAATAACAAAACCCAAGTATGTCAAGCAATACTGCGAGAGAATATGGCACATAGCTCAAACTATGGAGTTTTGTATATGGTACATTCTAATCACTTAATACTCAGAAACTAAATAAAAACAGTCTACTTCCCCCACTACTAAAACCAGCCCTAAAAGTCGAGAAGATCTAAGTGAAATGTTATTAGTATCCGGGAAAGCTTTGCAAGTGAGTTTATTAAAAACATTGACAGCTTTAGTCAGCATTTCTGCTTGATGCAAATGGCTGTAGGTGGATAAATTGGTTCGCGTGGCGCATGAAATAAATTGGACGGTGTGGAATGCTATGCGTATTTTCTGTCACTTAAATTGAACCACAGTAAGTCCGTGTTTTCTTTGCCTTTATGGGTTGGTTTATTCAGGGAGACCTAAAATGTGCCTGTATAATATGTTCGGATATTTTCCAACCGGACACTGTCAAAAATTGCTCACATATGCGAGAAATGGCTTTTCTCAAATAGTACATCCTTGATTAACGCATAGAACCTGTCACCTCTGTCTCTAGGATGCCAGAGCTCGTACTGGCATGCTTCAATGTGCTGGTGAAAAGCAACAATTTACGATTATGGGTGTTTTTGGTAGCATCTCGAAGCGAACAATAGTATGCGGTACGTTAAGACCTACGGAGACAGAAGCAATGAACTGCATTCTTAGCTCAAACTGTATCGTACAATGCGACCATCGGTGAACGCTTTCAATGAGCATGTGCTTGGTTACTGTTCATGACCGTGGTGAAGACAATGGTGGACCTATTTTGAATAATAATATTCTGTTCTTTGGAACTGGTCTCACAACTCAAGGAGTTCATAGGTTATCGGCCATTTTTGAACAACTTTCGTATACCTTATGCTCATGGCTGCTACCGATCTACTCGATATCTTCAGGATCAAGACTCAGCTGTGCGAATAATACAAAGAAACGCCGACCGAATGTTTAATCCGTGGTTTCGTCTGCTACTCGCCATCAGACCGCTGCTAAAGATTCAACGCACTGAAGAGGAGCTTTATTTTCTCAGGGTAGGTTTGAGTGCTCTAATCAATATCATCCGTTGTAATGAAAAATTTATCATGCTTCAGCTTATATGTCGGCACAGTAATGGTGCACAAGGCTGGCCAAAGTTCCACTCTCAATATAGTTTAAAATCTTTTCTTCTTTTATGATTCCAATGCGAATAAAATATGCTAAGTTGCCTCAACATATTGTACGGGTGCATATGCGCCCCACATTCAACCTTTTCTGGTCCACTCAAGCAGTGGATCGAATTGTCTACAACTTAATGCGTATACTAGTTAACTGCACTCTACACATAGTGATAATTTGGCCATCTCGCTTTTTTGTTTTCCATCGTAGAGTGAGCTAGAGCGTTACAAAACTTTGGTTAAAATGCTCCGGTTCGAAAACGCCGAATACCAAGCCAAGGTGGCCAATTTGCTACAGCTGGTAAGAATTTGGTCTCTACCATTTGTTCCTTTCATGCTTCATACGTGCCGTTTGAATTATGCGAGTCTAGTGACCTATGACCTACACGATCTACTCTACTGTCTGAATGCTTCGGACATTAAGCACAGAAGACGTTAAGCCCTTGGCGAGAAACAAAACGCTGCCTAATACTACAGTGTATTAAATGACCACTTGGAAAAGTTTGCATACAGCACAGTCGTTTTGTCGCATTACTGCAGAATGCTCGTAAAGTATATTGTGCTTCCTTTGTCAGTGGGATGTAAGGATTTCTACCCCTTTGTATACCTATTATGATCACAATTGTCATCCTATTGCCGTGAAATATGTACCTTCCATCTCTTACAATCTCACCTTCGCACTATATTCCGCGTGTGGCACTGAATTCGCAGTCGCCTATCACTTAAGCACTTGTTAACTAAATCCCCCAATTGGTTGGATTATAGTCGTGAATAGTAAACGGTGGTTAATCGAGTTAGGGTCACTTAATTAAATGAACTATTATCCCTGTTTGACAAAAGAAATTTACCCCGCTCAAGCCTTTTTTGCTGATGGTGTACGAGAAGTTAAGTTCATGAACAATGACTTTATGCATTCAGGGACTTAATTCAGCTTCCTGCAAACATCTGTACTTGATAGTAACCGAACGTGCACGCCGTGTTAATGGTACAACTGATGTGGTTACATTCATGAACTGGATGTGTCTTCTTTTCAGATAGAGCAGATTAACACGAAGGGTTCTGAGAGCGCCACCGTTAACGAACTTGTCCAACAAGTAAGTAACTATTTTTACATCTTAACAAGATGAGTTGTTCATATTGAAGATGTGCAACTTATGGATATCACTGGGCTTGGTTGCTTATATTATGCTCTGAAGCTCTCTTCAGGGGAAAATGTTTTTATTTCACCTTGGCTGAATGCGACAGTGTGATGATTTTTCATAATACTCTACCTATTGATACAGTGCATCCAGCTATAATAATTACATCGATTGGAATTCAGAAGAATTGATGCAGGTAAAGTTGACCTAGTAAAATGATACTATCATTCAAGTAAAACCACAGGATTTATGCCCAAAGCCTTGTCAAGCTATATACACACTCAGAACAACCAAAGCATACATGGATGTATGATTGTATCTTGTCGATTATGACGGTAGTCTAGTTTATATGCTGCAGCTACTAGTAAAGCTGTTCTTTGAACAAATAGCGAACTGTGAACCAATAGCTATGCACTACTAGCGCTGTATATTCACCCTTTGTGGGTGCATAAAACACATTCTTGACTTGACTTATACTAGCGGAAAAGATTTTCACAGTCTACTATACTCAATAGTTTAGTACGTAAGTTTACCGTAGTGAGATAGAACAAATACATACACCTAAAACTGCAATTCGTAACGCAAAATTATTATGTTAAATGTGCAGGAGTATATGACTAAAACGTATCACATTCATAAAGAGGCAGCTGTCCATAAAATTCATCTGTGACCTGTAAGTTGTACAGTCTTAGATGTTTCGGTATATCTAGGTTCGTATTAAAAGTCAAGAAGATTTCTCTTAGCCTTAGTGGCAAGTCTAGCTTCACCAGGCATAAGAAATTTCGACAATCAACGATGTTCCGTTTGGGGTTTGATGCTTAATCAAGGTACTGATACCTGGAGGGATTTGGGAGTGATTTACTACTTTGATCCTAGCATTTCCACAACGTGTCTTTAAGATATTAGTTATCATGAATTGACTTTGTTTCGGCCTTTAAATACAAGAAGTGGATTCAATCTTGCAACCCTTTTCATTGAAGATCTCAGAGTCATTGGCAAAAAATCAAGACTTCTGGCAAGAGATGGCTGCAGGGAACAAGGCTCTGCAATCTTCTGCTTTGGCCAGGCCAGACTGTTCTACGAACACCAGGAGTTCTCCTATGCTGGGTAAGTCCTGATCACCAGTGATGCTGCATTGCTAACGCATTTAATAACTGCATTTCGCTCAGTGACTGTAGATTATGAAACCATGGGTATACACTATAGCTTTTTTCCTTTCAATTAATTTTGCACTAATTGATATCAGATTTGATAGAAAACTCTTCATTACTCACCTCTCCCTATCTCAATAGCATTTTGCAAATTCATCTTATATCTTTATCACTGGTCTCATTCAGCAAATGGTGCAGCTGTTCGAATCTTACCCTAATAGTTATTCTTTATTCCTCCTCACTATTATAAATTTTATTTTGTTGATACTCTACTCTTAACAGTACCTTCTCCGCTGACGCAGCTCAAGCGTGATGCCGATTTCTATCGCAATCAAGTTGAAATGCTAAAGGAAGAAGCCGATGAACAGCAACACCGTTCGTCAGAACACTTTCAGGGTCAGGTAGGCCCATAGTTTTGAAAGTTTCCATCTTTTTGCTCCAGCCTTCGGAATTCCCTAGATTTAGTGTCAAACAATTTAAGTGGATACCGATAAGAACGTGAATTTTTCTCGTTATTTAACTTTCCGTACACCGCATAAGGTTAAATGTTTATCTAAACTTCGGTACTTATTTGCACTTATTTATTGGTATTTTTTGTATTTTTACAATAATGCTTTCATGTATCTGCGGACATTTCGATGATAGATCAGAATTGCAAAGTTTAGGCAGTTAATTCAGTCTAGGCTTGCGGACCGTTGTAACATTAAGATGCCATTAGTGCCAATATTTCAGGTGGGGACAGAATAAAGTCAAGGGCGGATATCTATGAAACCTCTCTCGTATGTATTTGAAAGTCTCCACTGAATGTATCGTCCAACAAAACTGTCATAGTGGTAACGACTTTTTCTCTAAAGGGCTTTGAAGACTCCCCATGCAATAAGGTCTACCACTATAAGCTTACTTTAGAGCTATCGTTCTGCTGGTATCAGGGCCTTGTTAGGTGGATCTCAGCATGGAATTTTTATTCCGGTCGTTTTGACCCAATCGAAAAAGGTGACAGAATGCACTGTGCACTACCCGACCTTATCACTTGAAGCTAAAGGGGAGACGAATGTACCACTTCGTATTCTATAATGAGGTATTTGATTTGATTGCCCTACAGGTCGAAACTTGCGAGAATTGTTGTCTATTTATAAAAGTATTACGTATACATACTGACGGCACACAACGCGTAAGATTGGGACATCCGTTGCTATTTTCATTTTATTGCAAGTGTTTCATTGCCATTTTGTTGGGAGTGGTGAAAGCATCACAATTATTTTAGATGGATATCATACTGGTTCAAAGAAACGCCGTCGAAAAATCAGCCTCTGACTACTACTTTACATCGTTATGTTGTCAACTAAATTTGAAAAAAGACAACACTTTTTCAGAACTTTCGTAGAACAAAACGGAGAATGGTTTCTTTAGATAAATCACTATGTTATACATACGATGTCTATTCTACACAACGCATTCGAAAGCGCCGATGTGCGTTTTTAGTTCTCTTGTTTATGATTGTTCAGCGCTTAGCTACGTATTAATCTCCACTAGAACTAGCCTAGCTGTTTATGAAAACGCTATTTAGATATGTTTTCTCCATACCTGGCTCTAAAACACATACTGTTGGTTGAACCTATTCTACTGCTATTTCTAACGCGAATTTGCATAGACAGAGTCAAAACAGAAAAGAATAACCTTACTTAGATGTTGAGTGACCTATTTCTCTTATGTTAACCTCTGCTATCTCTGCGGTATTCTGACCAACACCATCGATATTTTTGCTAATACGTGAACACGTGAACATTGTCTTCTTAAAAGCATCATTCTTTCTTACATTTAGTCGACAAAAAATGGATAGAGGTGGTATAATTCTATAAGGTGAGATAATTACAGCATCAGATGATGTTTATCTCGGACCAGAGATAAGCACTACATAGAACATTTCACTCATACATCTTCAAATTCTAACTAGCGTTGACGTTTCCAACCTTACCAACTAATTTAAAGCTGTTATTCTTGAAAACTAGTCCTGGCTTCTAGTGACCATTAGTGACGTAATCACCTTTTGACAATATGCTTTTGTTTAGGCACATTCAGAGTATAAGCAACATAATATTTGCTGGTTTTATCTTAAGATTGTTGCCATCAGGTTCTCCCTGATATTACTCAACTGAACACGGCTGGTGTATATTAATAGCTAGTTTGTACTTTAGGGATTTCGAGGAGGTTACTTTGGAGTGCTGGTAAAAGTTTCACAGTAACCTCTAAGCTTAGGTCCCCCAGTTAGGTCGCCCATGTCTTCTTTTCATTTATCAACTTCTGGGGGATACTTGCTTTTCTCGTTAGAACATAGTTTTTTGTCTGACTGAATTTTAGTCTACACACTTGTTTTGTTATCAAAAATTCAACCAAACATACTGTTGTTGACGTTTGACAAAGCGTCCTCTAATATTAACGTTCTAAGACACCGCTAGAAAAACGTGTTTCTCCACCAGTTCAGGCGCTGTTTGGATAAGCTGATTACTTGCAGACATTTCTTCTTAATGACATCCCCGTCAAGTCGACGCAATAAATCTTTTGAAAGTGGACGTGCTGAGTTTCGTGGCCAACGTCTGATGTAAATTTGTTAAGTGCTAACTTATACAAACTGACGGCCGTCAATCGGTAAAGCGAGCATATGGGTAAAAACGCAAAATGCTATTCGGATTGCGAGCGGTGATGAGAATGGTGTCCTCGAAGATGCAGCGTGCTGCCGCGCGTCGGACAGTTGTGCCCATTTTATTCGGGTGCGCTAAACGGTGTTGACTGTACTTAACGTCAGAAGTAATCTTAGTTTAGCCTTAGTAGACCGATTCTAGGTATTGAGCAGTGTTTTATCCATTAATCAGCGTTCAACTCTTTGTTTTGTTGTGAGACCAGGTCAGCCCATGGTCATTAAGTCATGGGACCTTCCAACGACCGCCTGCTGATTCACAAGAAAAACTGTACTAACGTAAACAGTTTGAACTTGGCTCGGTTAAACTACAGTGTTTTCATTGATTAGATTTCATGTTTCTCACTGCCTATTCATTGCATTTTTCAACAGCGAAACAACAGGGGTTCAAATGCCTTCTTTGTATGTACATGATGCTTAAGATTACAAAGTAGGATTGTTAAACTTTGATCACCAGCAACTGGTTGTTTAGATATTCTATTAAGTTTGGTTTGGGGAGGCAGGGACAAGTTACACAGTGAACTTTATGGGCCGGAAAGTCGACCTACTTTGGGGTCTGTCAGTTCTGTCACCTTAGACGAACGGATATTTTCATCCTGAGAGCGGTTAACAACATTTCACTAGGCTGCAGTTATTTGCTGCAAACACGCTGCCATAGAGATTCAGTATATTGCATACAACCTTCGTTACATTTCAAATGGTTAATCAGAAGTTAGTCAGTCCCTTAGTGAAAGTGGATAATATAAGCACGGTTACTTAATGTCTGAATGAAAATCGTGTAAATAACATATCATCCTCTGTCGGAAACTTGCCACAAACGGGCTAGAAATAAATTTGTTTCGAGAACGCGATGCATTCAATATGAATAATGAAGTTTTCAAATTTTGCCTAGTCTTTCATCTCAATGTTGTAATTATGTTTAGGGGCATAACACATGACTTGCATTACTGAAAGTTGCAAGGGACTCATTTGCTTACTCCCAGGAGCAGCTTCAATAAAATGCCTTTAATCTTCATAAGTTCATGACATAAAACTTGTTTCTAATAGCAACATTGGACCTCACTGATACCAACCATCCGTAGTAAATATGTGCAGGTAAAAACCGCAGGTTCAGATGTCATGATTCCAATGTTCCCCGAACGAAGAAGCTTACCAAAGACCAGCGCCTTATTCTGGCCACCAGAAGACCTACACTGACTGATTCGTGGAATACCAAACTTTTGTTACTATGCTTCCTTTGGCACACAGCTTACCGTCACTGTGTTTGCTTCGGTGAATTACTTACATGCAACTACCTTCTATCTATGGGTGTGTCAGGACGATTCCGCTGATTAAGTATGATCGTGTGGCTAAAGCGATGGACAGGACCGTGACCTTAGAATTAGCAACGCATGCGAATTGTGTAGCAGTCCGCTGCACCGTCATTAGTTGGCCAAGGTTGAACGGTGCATAAATTAAATAGAGCACCATGGCATGGAAACCGAGTGTAAATGTTTGGGAGACTTTAGAATGTTAGGTCACAGCAATCAGACAATTAAGCAACAACTAGATCCCATAATCAATGCTCATGTATTTCTTGACGAAATCAATTGCGCAGCACTAAGTTCGCTTACAACAATAGAACTGAAAACGGATCAGGTTATGCCGAGAATAGAAGTGACGTTTTTCGAATAGTTAATTAAAAATGGCAATCAATATCGAACTTTAGTTTTTGGAAGCTGGTTGATACTGTCTTCCAGCGTTATGTTTCTAGTCATTGGCAATTCTCGCAGTGGCATACTCTAAGCGTTTATGGGATTGAGTACATACAACGTGCACACCACTGTCAAACCTAACATTCCGTTCCTGCAAGCTAGTGGAATAAACCGTAAGGCATGAGTGTGTGAATAACATGTTTCAACTAGTCTATCCAAACCGCAAAAGATTAATCGTACAACGGAACAAAAGAAATGTCCACGGAACGCAGATGCAACCTACATAACGTGGGCAAATGAAACTTTTTCACACGTTTAAATCACCAAAGGCGAGTTCATATTAATCACCTAATGGCATTGGACTCGATGAGTTTCGCATGATAAGTATGCGCCAAGCACCAATAGGTCTTATCCAATTACATCATTTAAAGGCCGTTTCGCTCAAGAAGTTGCTCTGCGACGACCCGCAGCTGTGAATGACCAATCTAGACTGGGGCCTCCATATACGGAAACGAACGATTCGATAGCTAACCAAGATTAATCATCACGACCTACCAGTTTTAACATTCCCAACGCAGCTGCACGTTAGAACGCATCAGCACACGAAAAATGGAACAATGGAACAATGGTATATGACGGGTAAAAAGGCATACACTTAACGAGTCCCGCAGGTTGGCAATAGAAATACTAACAAGTTGGCAAACCACATAAGTGGTTGAAGTAAGGAGCGTCAGTGAGATAAAAGGTAGAAGTATGACAGTTTTAGGGCGATAAAGTGGTACAACGCAAAACTGGCTAAGAAATTGTTATCGTTGGTGATGGTAGCAAATAAAAATGGAGTACTCACCGGTTCGCACAGATTTACGACCGTGAATTTGGGGTATAAATCCAAACAGGCTGGTCAGCCTAAATATATACAAGCGTTTTCGTTCATAAAACAAAGCGCAGGGCGCTCAGTGCGATGTCCAATCGTTTTTTAAACGTATCTAATATGGGGGCACAAACTACTGAGTTTGGAAGGGCGTTCCAGGGCCCGCAGACCCGGAGGGAGAAATAGGTTCTCCGACAGTCTAGACGACTGTACTGTTGGCTCAGCTTTAAACTGTTATCGCGAAGGTTAGTGTTCGGGCTGAGCTTCAAGAGGTGGCGGCATACGTGACTGGGATCGCTCAATATCTGGTACACTAGTATGAGGTCTCCACGAAGTCGCCGGTACCGTCCGCTGAACACTCCGAGTATCTCCAGTCGTTCCTGGTAAGGAGTGTGGCGCAAGCCCTCGACGATTTTCGTTGCTCGACGCTGTGGGGTCTCAAGCGCTGCAAGGTCACGTTTTAGCTAGGGTTGCCAGGCCTGGATTGCATATTCGACGTAAGGACGCACGTAGGCATTCAGCATCTAAGAGAAGATGGATGGATCCAAAATTCCGAATGCTCTTCGCAGGAGTCTAAAGTGCTGGTTGCCCCTTTTAGAAGCGGAATCTGACTGTTTGGAACACCCGAGGTCTTCCTTTACCAGCACACCCAAGTCGCGTTCCTGAGTGGTGGTCTTCAGATCGTGTGCCCCAAGCTTGTAGACATGGACTTGTCGATGGCGGATATGAACAACGCGACATTTGTTCACATTAAACGGCAGGGCGTTTCTCACCGACCAATTCCAGGCCTCATCCAAGTCACGCTGTAGGACTTCATGGTCATCCGATCGTTTTATCGCCCGCCAAACCTTGAGGTCGTCCGCGAAGAGTAAGAATTTCGACGTAATAACTCTTACTAGATCGTTAATGAAAAGCAGGAACAAACGAGGCCCAAGTACCGAACCCTGCGGTACGCCGCATCCCACTCGAATCGGATCGGAAAAGGATGATCGAACTCTAACTTCTAACTGCCGTTCAGAGAGAAAGTTACCGATCCATCCTAACAACGGGTCTCGGATACCGTACTGTTGGCGTTTAATGAGCAGGATTCGATGATCCAGGCGATCGAAGGCTTTCGAAAAGTCCAAGAATGCAACATCGACTCCTGTTCCCTCATCGACAGTCTCGGTCCAGTTGTCACGAGCTATCAGCAGATTCGTCGTACATGAACGATGTTGACGAAACCCATGCTGTTCTGGCGCAATTATGCCGTAGTTTTCCAAGTATCCCATTAACGCATCTGCTATCACCGCTTCCATGACTTTGGCGATCACAGGCAGAAGCGTTACGGGGCGGTAATTGGCAGGATCCGATCGACTTCCTGCTTTGTATATGGGCGTTATTACATCTTGTTTCCATCTCGAAGGTACGATGTTCTCTTCGAAACAGCGCTGAAAATATGCAGCTAGTTGTTCGGCCAAGTGGATGGCAGCTACCTGTAATGTTTTCGTGTGAATCTTACCGGCCCCGGGAGAGCTGTGTGGACGCAAGGATAGCAGCTTTTGCAGCACCATTTCTGCAGTGAACGTGACGTTGGATAAAACGGACGGTGGGGTAACTAGTGGCGGAATATACGTCGAGGCTTGTACACCTTGGAATATTGGGGAGTACTGGGCCCGTAATGCGTTGGCCGCCTCCTTCGCAGTATGTGTATACCCATTGGTCGTTTTAAGTGGTGGGATTCCCCGTTGCACCTTGCGAAGTTCATTCACATGTTTGTAAAGAAGCTTTTTGTTCGAACAGAATCGTTTGGCTAGCTCCTGCTGATGCGTTCTCTTGTCTTCGCGAACCAAAAGCACACAGTAGTTGCGAAGCGAAACGTATTCCGTCCAGTTTTCTGCGCTGGGGTTGCTTTTATACATGCGCCATGCCCGATCCCTTAGAGTCATGCATTTTCGCGTCCGGCTTCGCAAGAATGATTTCGCTGTGCGGGGATGTTGGGAAACTTTTGGTGTTGAGGCTTCTATGACTAGTGACGTGATGGTGTTCGCAAATGTCTCCCAGGCTAGTTCTGGGGTGCAGTTAGCTAGAAACGTCCAACTGGTATTCTCAACTAGAGCAGAATGAACGTGGTAAGGGATAACAGATTGCCTCGTTTCGAGCTCCGCAGCTGGATATTCGGCGTAGCAGATGTAATCGAACTGCAAAGTCACGTGATCGCTACGGCCCAAAGGACTGCACACCTTTAGTCCATCGACCATGAGCTCTTCGTTAGTGAGCACTAGATCTAATATCGATGGGTTGTTTCCTGTTCTGAACCTGGTTGGAACGGTGACGTGGTTATACAAGGAGGTGCTAGAGAGTAGCTCTTGCAAATATGCCTTGAACACTTCTGTCTCGGATGCTGGATTTTCCAAGTCATGGGTGTTGAAATCTCCTGCAACGAGGATGTGGCTGTACTTCTGATTAAGCACTAAGCGAAAAGCGGAGATAAGTCTGTTGTCCCTTTCCGGAGTGGATTTCGGTGGTCGGTAAACCACAGAGAGAAGGCATACGTCGTTGCGTTCCAACCACAGTTTGCACCAAAGGACGTCGGTGACACAAGTCTGGGAATCGTCTATGAGCTCACAACGAAGATTCGTTCGGAAATAAATGAGCACGCCACCGCCCTTGCCCGTTCTGTCGTTCCGGAGAAGTGACATACCCGGTATGGCAATCTCAGCGTCTGTGATTTCGCCGCTCAGCCAGGTTTCGGTGATCATTATGATGTCTCGAGGCTCCGAAGCCAAACGGTGACGGAGTTCTACCAACTTACTTATGAGGCCTTGTGCATAAGTATACATGCAGGATAGTGTTTTTGTGTGTGAGTGAGCTAGCACAGGTTGTGGTAGGAATGGAGTTTGTGCTGACCGTTAACGGGTCGGCCATTAACCGATTTTTTGTGGTGACGTTTACCTTTGAGTTTGTTTTCGGTTAGATGACTGATCGCGGCCTTCCGGGCCCTGCTGGTCCCCCGTGTTCAGCCGTGTTTCGTGGGATATTGTGGTTGTCGATAAATCCATGCCTTCACAAAGTGGCATGAGTGGATGGTTCAACAATTTGATCGCTCCCCGTGAGTCGTTGGTAATCCGTGGCAGCGTACGAGTAGCCATTCAAGTACAGTCACAGGGTAGTGAAAAGTCTAAACTTAAACCACTTCAGAAAAAGAAGTTTTACGAAACAACTTCGTGAACTACCAACTGGTCAACTACCACTGTGTCGAGTAGTTTTGTTTGAAGACGGTCTTCATTTAGCTCAATGTAAAAGAATAGCCGTTGTTAGTTAATCTAGGAGAACTGTCTCAATGTTTACTCAAAAGGCCTGGATAATTTAGCAAACCAATCAACATGATATGCGGAGAATGCTTGTAAAATAAATGAGGAGAAACTTGTTTAACTGTTTTGTTAATATTTGGCAAGTCGCGGGCCTAAGCTCAGGTTTGTACTTGGACCACACAGCCAGTGGCTTTGCTTTGATTATCCTCCTATTACTAGTTGTAAGAAACGATCCGCATGCTTAGCGTATGCTTAATCTTGCACTTTAGGTGTTTTTCTGTAAGGTTGCATCTTCTACTTGATCGACTATTTACACTAAGTTTAGCTACAGGCAAAGATAAATGATTTTATACACTTAAATAATAAAAGAAACTAGGGAGGAAGATCGGATACAAAGGAATCCCTTCATTAATTATCTTCACCTTTTACAGGTTAGCGTTTTAAGCGATCGGGTGGAACAACTGCAGCATCTACTCAGCCTGGAGCACGATAAAGTGAGCCGTTTGAGCTCGGAGCTGGAAGGTATGAACAAGACCATCCTTGAGGCGAAATCGCACGAACGAAGTCTGGAACAAACTGTCAGTCAGCTTAGCAGGCAACTGGAACAGCGTGACAGGGCACAAGCGCATGAAATTAAGGATGTCCTGCGCACAGCTGACAGTCCCTTAACTATATCTGACAGAAATGTGGACGTAAGTTTAACAAACATGTACACGTTGCACAAAACAGTTTTTCACCTGCTCCGAGTTTAGTGTTGATTCTCTATTACTAAGTAAGACACTAATTTCGAAGTAAGGCCCTCAGTTCGAAGCTGGCCTCCATTGGAGCGTCTGGGCTCGCTGGTTGGGGTCCGAAAGACAATGAACACGCTTGGCTGGATACTCTTGTTGATATGGCTAGGAGCCGACCTTAGTGTCGTTCGTGCTGTGAGTTTCTTTGTCCCACCCCATCCATTTTAGCCTCCCCTCCAACCACGATTTCATTATTTCGCATTTTATAATTTTGCTAGTAAATTATATTTTTCTGCTGCATAGTAGCCGGCTGGTAGCTTACCGGAACGATGCTCATCCGTTACCGGTAGCTCCATTGGCTTGCACCTGTTGCATTTTATTCCCTTTTTGCTTTTGGGTATTGCGGCACAGTAGCTGAGGTGTTTCTCACTAGCTAACGTGTATAGTGTTTGTGTGTCTAGGACTAAGTAGAGTTGCTTGATGCATCTAAAATAGGCCTGTGATTTTGTTTGTTTTTAATGAAAAAGAATTTACCTAAGCACTAGTTAACCACTGTTTACTGTGTTGTGCTCATGCATTATTCCAATACCTTATACGTTAAATACTACCGAACTTTGTCTATTTAATGCAGAGCGAAATTCAACGCGATCTGGAACGAAAATTGGCATCTTACCGTCGCATGATCGGTGAGCTTCGAGCCCATTTAGCAAAAAGTCCAAAGGCAATGCATGCGTTGGCAAACACTCCCTTCCAACCAGGCGGAGAAATGGATTTGTTTAGGGAACCCATATCTGTGGAATCGGGCTACACATCTGTTGAGCCCAAGCTGGACCAGAAATTCTTCGCTTATCCTGTGCAATCGGAGCATGAGTCGTACGCATCAGGAGGGAGTACCACTCCTCGAAGTGCTTTTGTGCAAGAAAACGCTGAACTGAAGCGCCAGTTGGCTGCATCAGAAAATCTCTTAGCAGAGACCATGGTATGCTGATTGTGCATGGTCTCAGTGTCACGGGTTAATCTACGTTTGCCTTTTGTGTAACACCCTAAATACATAGTCAACTGAGGAATAACTTATATTCTCAAACGTCTGGACAAGTATCTTACTAATAGTCAGACTTGTATTCCCTTCACGGCAATCGGTATACAAGCAAACAATGCTCAAAACGTAAACTTTTCTCGCGGCATTGTGGTGTGTAGTTAAAATATCGCGGAATTATGATGTTGTTTTCGGTTTCCACGGAGCCGAACTTGGTTCTGTGAAAGTGAGTGTGTACAGGGTTGCACAGAAGAGTTCAAAGGTTGACATTTTGCTTATGGTCGCCCATTAGTATTCGGTCTTATGAAAACCGGGGAAATGGACACGTATTACTAAGCAGCATTAGCTTTGTGCAGGCGGAAGCAGAAACTGTGCAGCAAAACGAAGCGTGAGTTTTAATATATATGACCGTTGAAAATGTGGATAACGTCGCGCACTGTACTCAAATAAACACCCTTGCAACCAACGGAACGTTATTGATCGATTCATGTGCTTCCCCACCATAATTTTTAGGAGAAAATGAAGAACGAACTCGAAGATCGCGAGGCATTAGAATCTGAAAACAAAGAACTGAATGACCGAATAGCAGCTCTTAACCGTCAAATCCGACACAAGGAGGAAGAATATGACGAAATGATCAATCGCAAGGATGTAGTCTGCCAACGTAAGCTGAAAGAACTGGCTGATCAGCTGGAAGAAGAGACACGTGCTAAAAGCAGATTAATACAGCAGACCAAAGAGTTGGAAAAAGAGCTTACAGAGTTACGCAACGTGGCCGAGCCGGATGAAGATATTTGTAAGTCACAAAGTTATTGATCAAGGTGGCGCTTTAGAATAATGCGCAAGAAGTGCATGGACCAACTGCTCACTTTGTAAACAGTTTCTCACATGTGCCGCAGTTAGTTGTGAAAACGGGGATGTGCCTATTTTTGTAAGATGGCGCGCTATATTTAGGGATGCAAAATGCATGAACCTACAATTCTATCAAATTGCAATACATTGATTACATTTAGGAACCATATAACTAATAAGCATGTTCGAACTGTATGCTTCGGGAAAATGTACCGCCTAAATGGGCGAATTGGTTTACTAACTTATAAGACCTAACTACTCAGAACTAACCGGTTGCTTTTCACAGATTTGCAGTAAGTAAAAATTTATAACCTCGCATTTTCGTGGGCGTCATCAAACTGTCGCGGAAAAAGATTAGTGGGAATACAAGTCATCATCACGGTAAAGTTAAAGAAGGGACGATTTTTATGAAAAACTTCTGTTAGCTAAAACGTCAGAGCACTCCGCGGGTTATATGACTACAATATACCATAGGTCCCCATAGAAGTTATCTGTATTCTTTGACTTAAATTGGCAGTAACTAATTGGATTTAATTTCCATCTACTTCGTCTTGAAATTGTGCACAAATTGTCTGACAATAAGGGTTAACCATTTCTAAACAGTGGTTCACCTTTTTGATAAGAAGTACTCGTTGCGTTTTATCTGTAAAAAGATGAAAGATGTTAAATCGTTAAGCCATGAACTACTAATTATACTTCCTAGCTTATCATGTCTTAACTCTTCAATAACTACATGTGAATCATTTACGTCTGCCTGCGGTTTGTCGCAAATGTTTAGATGGTTGTTTGACATGTACATGTGAACTCTGGTGCTAACTCCTCACAACGACTCCGCAATCATAATTCTTTACCTGGCTATACCACACGATCATCGCCTTCCTAGGGTTTCATCGCCATCTGAGGACTGTTAGTTACCGTGCCATCCATGGCCCACGTCAGTTAATTTAAGTGGCACTAAGTGCATTCCATGCGAATTGATATTCTCCACCATATTGATCCCTGCCCAAATTGTTTAGCAATTTTGGAGTGTCCACCTAGCTGAATTCACCAACTTCCGATTGTCTTCACTTGATGAGCAGCATATTTGGCACCTCTACATTTCCCAAATACTACAATGAACAATGAATTTATACGGGTTAAGAAGCGTTGCTTTACAAGTCCCGTTGGATAGTTGGTGGGAAAATCAACCTAACAATAATAATGATAAGGATAGTAAAATAGTTAATTCTTTATATACGAAAATAAGGACTTATCGTTTGCTCCGCTGTAGTCCTGCGATCCTCTTAGAATCACTGCACCCACCGTTAATAACAAATAATTCCATGGTGAACTCCAGGTGTAGGATGGAGACGTAGTGTTAAGTAACAAAGTGTAACTGGATGAGTCCATCAGCCAACCGTCTTTTAAATACTGTTAGTGTTGGTGCAGAGACGACCGATTCTGGGAGAGCATTCCACGGGTGACAGACACGAATGGAAAAGAAATTTCTGCGGCATTCCAGACAACTGTATTGTTCTGCGAGTCTTAATGAGTGGCCCCTCAGGTTTGTATTGCTGCTGAGTTGCAGTAAAGGGCAGCACACATGATGTCGGTCTCGCAAAATCAAGTATGCCATAATCAGGTCACCTCGTAGTTTGTGATAGCTTCCACTGAACAATCCCAGTCGTCGCAGCCTCTCCTGGTAGGAAAGATTGAGCATTCCAATAACGTTCTTAGATGCCCGGCGTTGTGGCTGCTCCAGTGCATTAAGGTCGTGTTTCAGCCATGGATGCCAGGCTTGAATTGCATATTCGACATAGGGGCGAACAAACGCACTGATCATTTATCGAAATATGGAGCTGTTTATTTGTCCAAACGCCCGCCTCAAGAGCCCAACGTGTTGGTTCCCGATCTTCGAGGTCTTTTCGGATTCATAAATAATCCCCCTTTTGAGTCAGAAGTAAGCGAGTGCGCGAAGAATATTCTTTTCGATAATTCTCATCAGGCGAGTACAATTATGAAGCAAAACGTTTGGAGAGAATAAAGCCCGTAGAGGCCTGTACAGAGAGCAATCAACTAATTAACTAGGCAATATGAAAACTAAATCAATGGTTTGATCAATCGGATTGTCGCATTAGGAAGCAGGTGATCAAGGAAGGTCAAGTTAGGAAGCAGGTGATCAAGGAAGGTCAAGGCCAAGGCAATTTCAGAGCCTGTAGCAGTGTGCGCTGTTTGCACAGCTCTGGTTTTAGAACTTTGATAGCAATAGCTTCAGAAATGCTCAATAAAAGTTTCTTCAGCTGTTTTGGGTATCGTTTAGGGATGGTATAAACGACTCGAAACGACTGGTTTATCTGGACTTGGTGTCCAGTGTCGACCAAGTGTTGTAATACCGAACTGTTGATGGATTTTACCGTGCCATTTCGTAGTGACGCAGGACAATGCTCAGCGATTCTTTTGGACAAACACCTGGTCGTATGTCCAAGATACCTAGCACCACAGGTGCAGGTGAACTGGTATAAGACAAACGATTCGGACCGAACAGGGAGTTTATCCTTTAAGCGCTGAAGAATCAATGGTCTTGTTTCGGCAAGTAGTTTTAGGTTGGCGGCTGGAAATGTCTTGGTCACTGCGGTCGAGATTTTTCTATTCAACAGTTCGAACGCGACGTCACCTTTAAAGGGAACTGTAAGGAATACATCCTTTTTGGGAACTGTAGCGACACATTTGACAGCCTCAAGCTGTTTGGAATGCTTTTTGATGAAAGGTATGGGGTATCCATTTTCTTGCAGCGTGTTAAAGATGAGCTTGTTTTCGCTTTCAAGCGTCTCTGGACTGCAGATTGCTCTGGCACGATGGTATAAGCAACGGACTAAATTCCTCTTGTATCTCAGCGGCACAAAGCTAAGAAAGTGGGTGTATTGACCTACCCACGTCGCTTTGCGAAAAACACTCCTTTTGATAGTCCCGTCTTCACGCCGATGCAATAGAACGTCTAGGAACGCCAAGCGGCCATCTTGCTCAACTTCACTGGTGAATTTTAATGATGGATGCACTCTGTTAAACTGATCTAATAGGGTTAGGTAATCGATGGAAGAGTCACAAACAATGAAAGTGTCGTCCATGTAACGGTAGTATAAATCAAATGAAGATATAAGGGTGTTCAGTTCTCCACGTTCAAGCTTTGAAAGGAAGATGTCGGCCAAAAGTGGGCCTAGGGGAGAACCCATTGCGACCCCATCTATCTGTCTATAATAGATTCCATCAAACAGAAATTGGACGTTGAAGGTGCAACGCAGAATCAATTCTTTTAATTTATTCACCGGAATTCCAACATCAATGTTTCTCTCCGTGATGAAATCACAAATGAATGTCACAGTCTCTACCAGCGGCACGTTCGTGAAAAGTGATTCTACGTCAAACGAAAGCATTAATTTATCCTTCACGTTTAGGTTTTCTATTCGGTTGACAAAATCAAACGTGTCTTTGACCGTATGAATCGACAACTCTTTTCGAACCGGTTCCAGCAACTCAATTATCCACTTTGCGACAGAGTGAAAAGCTGAAGTAGACATATCCACTATTGGTCGCATCTGAACGTTTGTTTTGTGCACTTTTGGCAAACCATAGAGTCGCGGAGGGTGTGAGCCGCATGGGGTCAGCTTTGAGAAGAGTGCATCATCTATGTGCTTCGACTTCCTTAATTCTTTCAAAATGTTAATGATTTTGGCTTCTTCTTGCGAGGTGGTCTCTTTTTGAATTGCGCCTCGTCGGAATTTGTTGGTGTCGTTCAGAATTGTTGTCAGTTTAGATATGTAATCAGACTTGTTCATCAATACCCAACCAGATCCTTTGTCTGGTCGGGAAAGGATTAGTTCTGGGTCAAAGACACGTTTGATTTTGTCAACCGAATAGAAAACCTAAACGTGAAGGATAAATTAATGCTTTCGTTTGATGTAGAGTCACTTTTCACGAACGTGCCGCTGGTAGAGACTGTGACATTCATTTGTGATTTCATCACGGAGAGAAACATTGATGTTGGAATTCCGGTGAATAAATTAAAAGAATTGATTCTGCGTTGCACCTTCAACGTACAATTTCTGTTTGATGGAATCTATTATAGACAGATAGATGGGGTTGCAATGGGTTCTCCCCTAGGCCCACTTTTGGCCGACATCTTCCTTTCAAAGCTTGAACGTGGAGAACTGAACACCCTTATATCTTCATTTGATTTATACTACCGTTACATGGACGACACTTTCATTGTTTGTGACTCTTCCATCGATTACCTAACCCTATTAGATCAGTTTAACAGAGTGCATCCATCATTAAAATTCACCAGTGAAGTTGAGCAAGATGGCCGCTTGGCGTTCCTAGACGTTCTATTGCATCGGCGTGAAGACGGGACTATCAAAAGGAGTGTTTTTCGCAAAGCGACGTGGGTAGGTCAATACACCCACTTTCTTAGCTTTGTGCCGCTGAGATACAAGAGGAATTTAGTCCGTTGCTTACACCATCGTGCCAGAGCAATCTGCAGTCCAGAGACGCTTGAAAGCGAAAACAAGCTCATCTTTAACACGCTGCAAGAAAATGGATACCCCATACCTTTCATCAAAAAGCATTCCAAACCGCTTGAGGCTGTCAAATGTGTCGCTACAGTTCCCAAAAAGGATGTATTCCTTACAGTTCCCTTTAAAGGTGACGTCGCGTTCGAACTGTTGAATAGAAAAATCTCGACCGCAGTGACCAAGACATTTCCAGCCGCCAACCTAAAACTACTTGCCGAAACAAGACCATTGATTCTTCAGCGCTTAAAGGATAAACTCCCTGTTCGGTCCGAATCGTTTGTCTTATACCAGTTCACCTGCACCTGTGGTGCTAGGTATCTTGGACATACGACCAGGTGTTTGTCCAAAAGAATCGCTGAGCATTGTCCTGCGTCACTACGAAATGGCACGGTAAAAT